TAGTGCCAACACTAATCCCTAGAGCCTCCCACTTCTCCCCTACCTCCAATGCCAGCCACTGATTCCAGAGTCCCCTGTATCTAACCCCCCCAGTGCTAGTTTCTCACCCTCAGAGACCCCAGTGCTAGTTCCCCATCCCAAATGCTTCAATGCCAGCTCCCTGCCCCTTAAAGCCCCCCCACCAGACCTCCCAGTGCCAGCCTCCTGTTTCCAGAGCCCCACTGCACCCATTCCCCATGATGCTCCCCCTGTGCTAGCTCCCAGTTCCTAATATTAGCCCCATTCCCAGAGCCCCCGGTGCCAGCCCTGCTCCCATAACTCCCCCAACCCCTCAGTGCCAGCTCCTCACCCCCAGTGCCCTAGTGCCAGCCCACTGCCTCTTAGAGCCTTCTACCCCCAGAGCCTCCCAGCACTAGCCCCACCCCCCGAAGCCTCCAGTGCCTGCCCTAACCCCCTCACCTAGCTCTGCTGCTAGTTGAGTCCCAGCTGCCAGTCCCGGCTCTAAGGCTACTCTGCTGAGCTCCGTGCAGCCCTCCTGCCAAGCAGCAAAGCACTTTTCCACATCTGGTAAGAGAACCCGCCCCTACCTGGCATGGGTTGCCTGAGAGGAGGAGCAGGACATGCTTATCCCAATAGCTGCTGCAGCAGGGGAGGTTTTGGGCAGTGTATCCCAGCCTCGGTCCCCAGAGTTGCCACAGCCCAGCAGACAAAGCCGTGGTCCAGTGATTGGGAACCACTGGCCTATACAACAGATAATTGTAACAGCACAAAAAGTATTTCACTCGATAGTTTTAAATTGTTTTGGATCATTTTGTGATTCATTAGCTATGCTACTGAATCAGAAAAGATTTTGTTGAGACTGATTTGTTTTGATTTCCATTTGGGAATAGCTGTCTAATTAGCACATTGTGCCTCTTGAAATCAAACCTTGCATAACTCTTCCAAACCTCAGACCAAATTCCTACCAACTATAGTTAGATATTTGGTACACTTCAGGTAATTTATGTGTAACCCCCTTTTTCCTCCCTGGGTTACTCGGGAGCAGGTCACACTCACAGGTGTGCCTGGGCACCTGATGGTCTTGACATAAAAAGGAGATCCTGAGTACCCCAGTGGGGAACTCACTTGTTTGGTTGGGGAAAACCTATCCACCCCCTTGCTGCAGTCCCTTGCTTATAAAGAATGTACACTAGCGGTGCCTCCACCTGGCTGGCTTTGTACACACTTACTGGTGTGCCTTGAGAGCCTCCAGGAATATACTCCTTCCAGCTATAATCTGGATCTAATTCCAGAACAACAACTACAAATCATATACATCTAATAGATTACATTAAAATAAACAATCTTTACTTAATTAAATAAACAGGATTTAACAAATTAACAGTGAATAACCTCAATTAACAAAGTGCACAACAATAACTGGAACTTATATACAGCCACTCTCCGAGTTATGAACAAGTTACGGAACAACACTTGGTCCATAACTCAAACCGTTCGTAACTCGGACCCCATTGAGTTACACGGGATTGCACTGTTCGTAAATGCGGGTCACGTTCATAACTCGGGGACCGCCTTTACGACTGCTCCATGGGCGCTTTGGTTGTAAGTGCGAACAGTCGTAACTCGACCGTTTGCAACTCAGGGAGTGGCTGTATCTAGCATTTGCACTGCCAATATTGATCCCACCCCAGAGTGTGCACACCCCCGGACGCTTGCTTGCGTGGGCGCTCTTGAAGAACTGCAGCTGTAGGGGAGATTCTCTGTAGAAAGTGTGTATGAGGATCCAAGCTAGGCAGCAGCTCTGTCCCAGGCAGCACTTTTCCCAAAAAGGCTCAATTACTTACAGCCTCATGCTGTGCCTATCAGAAGCAGCCTGCTAGATCCCAGTTCCATAGGTATATAGTCCCAGTCTGTAACTGTACTTTAACAGCCCTTGGACTGGATCAAACTCCTCCACAGCAGCCTGGCTCCCCTTCTGTTCCAAAATCCAAGGGCAGAGTCCCAGACTGCTAGGCCTCTCTCCTCATGCACATGAAGAGACTCCCATCTCCCACACAAGAGTAACTTCCTTCCTGTTTTTCCCAAGGGCTCATGGGAATTGTAATTTGTGAGGCTAGATTGCAGCACACAGGGTCTTCCCAGAAAATAAGCAGAGGCACCTTTAATAAGGGGACTACATATGCATCTGTGCAACCAATAAGTAGGTTGATTACTTTCATAATGTAAATCATATTTGTGACTTTTTCAGAACCAGTTCAAAGTTTTTAAAGTGCTTTCTTCAATATTTTACTATTAAGATATCATCTAAATAGTAGATGAAAACATTAAATCTTAAAGAATCTGATCCATGAACTGAGCTAGATTTTCATACATTTGGATGGTGTAAAAGAGCTGGGATCTGATTGCAGTTGTCAAGCTGAGAATTCCCAGTAGTGAAGTGGTGCGGAATTCTCATCTGGTCTGGAATAATTATGTTGCTCGTTCTATCCTTTACCCTCCATACTGAGTTTCAGAGGTAAGGCAAACCCGAGTTTTTCCTTAGTCAAGCCATTTGCAGCTGTTGAATAGTTTCTATATAAAACAAGGTACTACGCTATATAAAACCTGAAACTGAATTAAATTAATCATCTTTTACTTTGTTTATTTCTGGTACCATGGTGTACCTCTTTATTTTTTGTTCTTAACCCATGCATTCCAGGTACTAATGGATATGAAGAAATCTTCTGCACCAGTACCAGGATAAATACATTTGTGAGGATAACTCCCTTTTTGATGTAATAAGGAAACAGTATGTCCAGATACTGACAGTTTTTTCTGTCTACTTAAAACAAAGCTTAACTGAGTTAATCCAAATTGTTACTATATACATAGCATTAGTGAACTGGATTACAACAAAGGTACAGACAAATTGGACTCTATAAGAGCTATATTAATACTTAATATGTATACTTAAATGCTTATAGTATACATTGTGGATAATAGTATCAGCATAACATCAGCATATAATATGCTGCCAGCATATAATAATCAACTCTGTGCATGAAATAATACAGGTAGGTATTCTTTGGTAGCCTTATTTTTAATTTCTTCTTCTTTTTTTGTGGGTTTGTATCAAGTATGGTACAGGTGTTGCAACACCAAGTTCTTTACAAGAAGGTTTTTGTATTTTTTTTAAGTGTACTAGTGTGGCTTGCCTCTTAAGTGCTAAAGACTTGGGGCAGCCATTTCTGATGGATAGGGAGGAATATTTGAGCAAGGATCACCTGTTTCCATTATAAAATGTAGCAGGAAGCTAGCTGCACAGGAATAGTTCTCAGGGGAAAGCAAAATTGTTGGTAGCATATAGGAATTAGGAAAATAGACTACATGCAGGATAGGCCTGAGACAATTAAAGGACTTGAGAACTTCATTTTGAATGTTAGTTATTTAAATAAAGCTGAACCCAATAATGGATAAAAATATTTGAGAGTTACAGAACAAGCCCCATGTAGGGGAAACCTGAGGCAGGTGGCACTTTCAAGGCTGCCCTGAAGCCATGAGAGGACTTCATGGAGGTAGGCACCACGGGCAGTTAGCTAAACCAGAAATACAGAATCAGAGGATAAAATGAACTACACAAAAAGTATTGGTCTGATGATTAGACGATGTGATAAATCATAGTCTCTGAGGGTATGTCTACACTTGCACTCTCTTTTGAGAGAGGGATGCAAATGAAGACATTCAAAATTGCAACTGAGGCTGGGATTTAAATATCCCGCACTTCATTTGCTGATTCTCATTATGGTGCTATTTCGAAATAGCGCTATTTTGAAATAACAGACGCTGTTAAGACGCAGTTATTTCGAGAGAAAACCTTTCTCTTGAAATAACCCTTATTCCTCATACTATGAGGTTTACCAGTTATTTTGAGGGAAGGGTTTTCTCTTGAAATAACCCTGTCTTAACAGCGTCTGTTATTTCAAAATAGCGCTATTTCGAAATAGCACCATAATGAGAATCAGCAAATGAAGTGCGGGATATTTAAATCCCAGCTTCATTTGCAATTTCAAATGTCTTCATTTGCATCCCTCTGTAACTTTGGCTTGCTTCACATATTTTGTATAAAATATTTGTTTTACATTCTGTCACCTGGGCTAAAAGATACAATACCATTTATATATTTGTAGCTTAAATAAATACTGTTAGATGTGGTTTGCAAGACAATAATTGATTTAAACGAACATTTAAGGCACTCAGCAACTCACATGACAGTGTGCTTGTATATTGTTGCGTTGTTAAAGAGTTAATTTACAAAACATTTATCACACAGGCTCTCTTTACTTATTGACTTCATTGCATTTGCTGGAAAAATTCTGAATACCTACAGTTGGACTACTTTAAAATTGGGAGCTACTTTATTTCAGAAAGTTGCATCGTCTAAGATAATTTTGCAAATGCGGCTGTGTATAACTAAATTTCATTTTGGAAGCTCCTTAGTAAAACCACGCACAACTACTCCCATCTAAAGTCAGTGGGAGCTGTGAGTGATCAGCAGTTCTGAAAATTGGACTCTTGGTATTTTCATTCCTGTAACAAAATATATATAATATGTTGAGTTTGTGGGCCAGATTTTGGTCTTACACTGATGTGACCTTGACATCCAGGGAGTTTCTCCTCCTTTGCAGTCATACAAAGAGATCAGAATAAAAAATGTATGTGTCTTCCTGGAATGCCTGTTTCATTGCAGTTGTATCGTTGGACTGCATGCCAAATGTGTTCAAGTTTATGTGCTCAAGTGTCCTCAGCATCAATCCAGAGGACATTTTGAATAACTAATAGCAATACACACTTGTGAATGTTCCACGGGTTAATACTTGTAATGGTTAATGTGACTGACAACTCAAATTTTCCTTTGCAAGTGTTATTGATAAGCTTTATCTTAATTATAGTTATTAATGCTCTTTTGTTTTGTTTGGTCAGTATAAGGTACAATGCTGCACTAAGTCTCTTCTTTCTTTAAGGAACTGATGACCAAGCTAATAACAGAGACTCCTGACCAGCCAATCCCATTTCTCATAGACCATCTTCAGTCCAAACAGGGGAACCGGGGTCAGCTTCAGAGAACGTTGTCAGGATCTGCTGCTCTCTGGGCAGAAAGTGAGACATCAGGTAAATAGGGCATATTTATATGTTTTGAGCTTAAAAATACTATATTCTATTTTCCTGTAATTATGTCAAAGAAATAACATGAAAAACAGAGGTGTGTATTGTAAGATGAACAGAAATGAATATTTTTAAATAGAATTTATATTAGCTTTTGTACTATTCAAGAAATCTATAGTATAGAATGGAGACAAATCCAAAAGACATATAGGGCTAGATGTTCTCCTAATTGGGTTATTCCAATTTAAGGGCAAGACAACTCAGTGATTTTTTTACTTGTAACATTTTATTTTATGCTTCCCATTTATGCCTTCTGGATACTCAGAGGGATGGATATTATTTGTTGGAGGTGCATGTCTATGAGCAGAAGCAGTTAGAGAACAGGCAAAGAGAGAAAGTATATGAAGCACTTGCAGCATCACCCTAAAGGAGAGCCAAGAGAAACCTTTTGAGCAGAGTGCTGGCTGGAAAAAGGCTTAGAACTGTGAGCAAAGGATGTGCCTCTTGTTGTTTGTTTCCTACTGTAAATAAACAGGTTTGCATAAAACAAAAACTTTGCCTCAATCAATTTCCCCTTTTAATGGAAACAATTTACAAGTCCATGATGTTGGCTAATTGTTCAGTTAAAAAAAAAGTAACTATAATTCAAAATATAAAAACTGTAAGTAATTTATAAAACAAATATAGATTAAGTATACTTGGAATTAGTCTTTGGCAAACTTGGAATTAGTCTTTATCTAGATTTTTAATAACACATTTTAACCAGCTACATAAACATTTTAACTATTGTATGAAACTCGGTGTGACAAATTTATGTTACATGATTTTAAAACATTAGCAGTAGCAAGTACTCTGACTTGAAAATAGCAATCACCATGTTGGTAAGCCAATAGATTTTGGTACATCTTCATCTGTAATAGTGATGAAGTTTTAGTTTGTGACAAAAGTTGACTGAAAATTTGTCTGCATGTAGCAGACCTCCATCAGATGCATAGTGGTTGGTTGTTAATTGTATGGTGAATACATATTTCATTGATATGCTGTTGGCATATGAGCACTCACTTTGTTTCAGAACCACTGGAAGTTGAGGTAGAATGTGAAGAGGCCTGAAAGCGGACAGAGAGAGGAGTTAGTCAGGAAGTGAATAAGCTCTGACCTCTGATGTGGCAGCTTGTTGATGTCAGTTATTTATGTAATTTTCAAGTCAGTTGATTTCCATAATCTTTTCAAATAGTGTCATATAGGAATATGAGTAAGGCAGCCAGAATATATCTGTCTATTTTTTTTAATGCTTGTGATTAGTCTTGCCTTAAATTGCACTTAGTAAACTATGACTGTAAATTAACAAATTTTTGTTTTGTTTTGGTGGGATTTAGCAGGCAGGTCTAAAGCACTCATTAATGAGACAAACCAAGCTGAATGTTTGCTATAAAATTGGAACATATAAATTAATGCTAAATAACAATTTCCATTAACCCTTTATTTAAGAATAGTCTCAAAACAGGGAGTGTTTTAAGTACATCACAAAAGAAAAAGGGTGATCATAACAATAGTACATTTGAATTCTATACCTGTATAATATATGCCAGTTCCTGCCCTCCACTGGTCCAAAGTAGGGATGTAATAGTGTAGTCCAGTGGTCCCCAGCCATTTGAGGTTGCCGCACAGGCACGTCTCCGACAGAGGCTGCTCTGGCTGGGACTGCCAGGGGTCGGAATGGGGGGGTCTCTTCAGCCCAGTCAAGCTGGAGCAGTGGTCCCCAACCATTGGAGGTTGCCGGGTGCCAGGGGGCGTGGCTGTTTGCCCGCCGGGCACCAGAGGGCGGGGACACTTGTGTGCCTGGGGGCGGGGCCCCCCCATAGCCACGCGCCTGGGGCCGGCGCGCCCCCCCCAAGGGCCGCACGCCCAGAGCGCGGGCGGCCAATCCGTGGCGCTCCCGGAGCCGGCACTCACCGTGCGCCATGTGCCCGGGGCCAGGCCAGCCTCGAGCACTTGGTGGGCTCATACAAATGCCCCTGCGGGCGCCATGGCACCCGCGGGCACCATGTTGGGGACCACGGGTGTAGTCAATTAACCGATAAGCAAAAACTTCTAGGTTAATGCTATAGACTACATGCATTTCTCTCCCCTCTTCCCAACCAGTACATTTTTTAGCAGGCTGGCCAGCAGCCCAGCTCAGTTTTGGCTCACGCTCAGTGTGGGACCTACCCCCACCTTGGCCCTGTATTTAAAGTGTATTAGGAGCAGGGCGGGCAGGCAGCCTAGCTCAGTTCCGGTTCACACTGTGTACGGGAACTCAGATCCCGCCCCGCTTTTATCAGAGGCAGCAGCCCAGGGCAATAAGCAGCTGGTCTGCAAGAGGAGCTGATTTTTAAACTGGCTCCCCTCGCAGACTAGCTCTTGCCTGACACCCTGTGATGCTGCTGGCCCCACCCCCAGGGGCTATAGAATAGTAGACTAACTGATAAGAATTCATGAGGTTAGTCGACTGTTAAATTAACCGATATTTAACATCTCTAGTCCAAAGCTGCACTAAAGTGACTTAGCTGATCATAGGATGCTTCCTCATGCATAGGAGAGATTTAGGTGAAGTTCTGCTCTGCCTCACACAGGCTTATGACTGGCACATAGGGCATGGTGTAACTGGAGGTATGGACATTCCTCCATCCTAGTGAATTCTGAGTGCAGTATCCACGCAGAGTAAGTTGGGCAGCCTTTCCGTTGCTCCAGTTTGTGCTTATTGTTATATAGCCCACCAGAAAGTAGTCGTAGTATTGGGGAAGTGCAAAGGAGGTGTAAAGCCACTGTTTCCATTCTCCTTGCCCTGCTTCTCAATGGTTTTGAAAGAAAGGATGTGAAGAAGTGGGTAATTTGCTAATTGTGTAGTTGGTAGAATTTGTATCGACTACACGATTGGTTGATAAGAGAAGAAGCATTCGGTCCTGGCTTGTGCTGGGTCCAGGACCTCGTAGTATTGGGGAAGTGCAAAGGAGGTGTAAAGCCACTGTTTCCATTCTCCTTGCCCTGCTTCTCAATGGTTTTGAAAGAAAGGATGTGAAGAAGTGGGTAATTTGCTAATTGTGTAGTTGGTAGAATTTGTATCGACTACACGATTGGTTGATAAGAGAAGAAGCATTCGGTCCTGGCTTGTGCTGGGTCCAGGACCTATGCCT